TTCTTTTATCATGTAGAAATATGCTGGTTGCTCGCCAGTTATGAGTGACATGTTACTTATTTTTATGGTAACCGGTCATTTGTAGATGGGTATTTGCTAAAAATTAATTGTTTGGGAAATATTTTTTGCTTTTCCGCTTGGTTTTTGTTATTTTGCATTTTTTAGCATTGCAAAAAAATAGACGGGCAGAAGGCACACTAACCTAATTTTGGTGTGATGCATTTTTCAGTTGCAAATCTAGAAGCGCATGGAAAGGAATGGCTTATGTGAGATTTATTTTTCCTTTTCAGAAATTCGGCAAGTTCATCGGCCACAGCACGATCGATTTGTTTATGCTCTGCAGCACTGTATGTCCAGAATTGAAGCAGTCGTAAAGGGAGAGGTTGAAGAGCTGGTAAATAATGACGTGATCACCCTTCAACAGGTATGTGTGTTGCTGCAACATGGCCCAAAATTTCGTCATTTCTTCAGCTATTGGCCATGTCCTTAAATATTATAGAAAAACCAACAGATCATCGAAATGGAGCAGGAGAATGTGGGAAGAAACGAGGGCTGAAGGTGGGGGGAGGGAGGAGGGGAATAGACATCAGAATGAGTCTGCTAGCAAGTGCGGTATGAACACTCTGGTGAATTTGTTTTTGAATTTATTATAAGGTCGGAGGTTACTGATCCCATGCGGTATTTGTTAGTTTGTGCTCCTTAAATGTATTGTTTAATCGGCTTAAAATAATAGCAAATTTGCTCTTTCCTCAGGCTGAAATCCTAGGTTTTGATTAACGAAAAGGCATCCCGAACTCTGCATCATCCAGGTAGGTAAATGGATTGGAGGAGAAAAATGTGCTATGTCTCGTGAGCACCCTATGCTCCTTTCCATAACATTTTCCGTCTAGTCCCCATCAGTCCCTCCGTCTGCTAGAACCCATGAAACAGCATTCAACTCTATATTATCTTTTTGGGTCTTAACTTGTTTCATGCGCAAAATTCCTTGAATCTGCTCGCTGAGATCGAGAACACCTGGTTTGTTCTATGCACCGAAAAGAACTCGATGGAGCAATTCCTTTTCTCGAAAAGAGTGATCTTACAGGAGGGCCAGAGGAGGAAAAGAGCAAATCCTTAAATACTGAATGTTTTTTCGAGCTGGTATATTTTCTGGTATGCCTTT